TAAACTTTGAGGGATTCCTTTCTAAAAATATATCTGCAAGCTTTTTTCACAGCTGTCAACTCCCCCCAGTCTGGAAGGGCTTCTCTTGTAATACTGGAACATGAACATAGAAGATGTCTTTCAGCTCCCTACTGAAGACTGCAAAATGGTCAAAGATACATATTTCTGGGGATAAGGTGATCTCTATTGTAAATTTATTGTTCTACCTTTTTTCCCAGCATAAAGCATGGACATCATGGCATCTTCAGGTGGTTTCAGCAGTTGTAAATTTGGCAGCAATCTATATTCTGTGCAAGTCACTGACAAAAACTATTACCTTGGGGACTGCAGGGATATTTCACCCTAAATAAGGTATGTTCAACTTCCTTCTGCTCTTACTGAGGGAGCCAAACTAGAAAGCACTTGATTAGCAGGCCATCATTTGTACTTCGGTATTTCCCAGGTAGTTGTGGCAGCAAAAGAAGCAGGAGAGGCAGGAGGAACTGAAAAATACAGATTGTTTGCTCCAACTTAGAGCTGATCTCACATCTGTACCAGCTACCTGTACAAAACCAGATGATTTGGGATGTTACCTAATAGCACCAGAGAAAAAAAACAACACAACAAACCAGTGTTGGGAAAAAACAGCTTGTCTTCCATGCCAGAAGTGTTCAGCTAATAAAATAATGATGATACTACCTGTTGCCAAATAGAAAAGATGAATACTAACAAGTGGCCAAGACCAGATGAAATTTACACAATATTTCCAAAAAAGGTGCAGGGATGAAACAGATGAACGATTGGCTGAAGTGTATGAGGTTGTCCTGGTTTGAGCTGGGAATGAACCAATTAATTTTTAGTAAGATACGAAAAAGGTGTGGCCCTGTAATATTCCACACACCTAGTGAGGGATCAAAAATAGGTGGATAGGTGGGAGAACCAGCTGGTAGTGCCTTAATGAATATCTAAAAGCCATGTGAGAAGATATATCACTTTTCTTGACGAAGTTAAGTGTGTGTCTGCGTTGTTATATGAGATAGTTCTGAGAAGTGATCCTGGTCAAGGACAGGCTGATAATTATTGCAGCAGCCATATGAGTGTAGTGTCCCTGAGGATGGTCTCTGAGCATCCAAAGTGGCTTAATATGAAGCAAATCCCAGGAGTAGCTTGGTGGAAAGCTCACTCTAGCAGGTCTATTTATAAATACATTGCACTAGGGCCCAGCACAGCCCTCTGATACTGCCTCAACAAGCCTTGTGTCCTCACACTCCTTGTGTAACCTCACACCCGTCCTAAGCAATGTTCCTTCTACTCTTGCTATCTTTCTCTATAGAGCCTGCTAGCAAGTTATGAAAGAGCTGTCATTAAGTCATGAATGTACTGAATAATGATTACCAAGGTGCCAGAAGGATCTTGCCTAGTGCTGAGGACTCCACTGCTTTTTGTAAAATATCTTCTGCATCTGGGGCATCAACACTGTGCTTTGCTTGAGCTGTTTCCTATTCAAAGTAAGCAGTGAGGACAGAGTGGAGAAGTGACCTCTACCACCATCAAGGTTGCTTTTCTCTATTGCTTTCCTGTTGCCCAGCCCTGGCTCACCTTTCTCCTGTGGTCAGAAGTCAGCAGTCAGCTGCAGAGCTGCACAGGGCACTGGGCTGACCCCAGGGCTCTGCTCTTCTGGTGACCACTCAGCACTACCTGGCAGGTCATCCAGTCCAAAGCTGCTCTCTAAGGTGTCTGTGGATCCAAGCTGAATTCAGCTCCCACTCCCAGGCCATCTCACCTTCTCACCAGCTGGTCTGGCTTGATCCTCACTAGCAAATGCAGGTCTCTGCACACCTGATCCAGCTGTTTCATCATGGACACATGGGCCCTCCAGCCCATGATCTGACTCCAGCTGTGGCACTCACACCCCATACGCACTGAGTAGGGAGCCCTCACCTGGGACAGAGCTAGAAAGGTGTTTAATAACAAGAAAGGACCACAATGATCAGGCACAGGGCATGGCCAGACAAGTGAGCTGACAAGCCTCTGTTTACCTGCCATCGATGCTTTTTATCTCATTGCCCCTCTATTTTCCTACATTTGTTCCTGCACAGATCACCTAATCCCCTCCTCTTCCACACCTTCTGTTCCTCCCTCAAACATCCCCTCAAACAACCCTGTGCAATCCCAACTGCTCTTCCCCTCAGGTCCAAAGGAGAGCTGCTCCTGGTGGCATGGGTTTCACTCCTGCA